TGGTCGCATTAGAAGGCTAAATGAATGACATTGCTAACTGCAGTACCATTTCTGATCAAGTTCATCCAGTAATGCTTCACGTGTATCTTGATGGGGATGGTTACTTCCAAAACAATGTTCCAGTCTACCGCGCAGAAATTGTTTGTGGTAAATGATGAGAGATTTCACGCATCTCTCGTGGCCACCATACTTTCCAAGTCTTAACCAATTAAGCATTCATAGTATGAATTTGAAAGACGAATTCATCATCTCGATCCTCTGCATTTCTCGTAAGTTGCATATAATATTACTGACTGAATGGGAGAAAAATCCCTCAGAACACCTTGAGGATTTTATGCTACGTCATGTTATAACTTATTTAAGCTAAAGACGGTTCAACCCATTATTAGGTATTGGTTCTAATAAAGGAGTCAGCTAGTGTATATGGATCTCAAATACTAATTTTATTTGACAGAACATACAAAATAAGGCCACCCATCATATATGCGAACATGCCATGTTTACTCATGGGGAGCACGTTACCCTTTGAATATCTTGTCGAGTAAAGGTATTCAAAACAAACGCAATAACTATTACTAAAAACAGTAGGTATTTTGTGCTCATGACGGTCGAGTTTTCAATCCACACATCTTGCTCTTCCTAGAATATGTTGCGTGAACTTAGGAAGTTTCTCCATAACGGTTTAAATTGTTTATCAATATATATATAAACCTTAAAAAAAAAAAGGAGTACAACTCAGATTGAAAGTGTAGATATATTGCCTTATCAGCGCTGATTATGGCTCTTTCGTGACCTGATGCTTTATTTATAATATGATGTCTGCATGAAATTTGAGCACAATCATGAGATTGCAAATTACACGTCACGTACATGGTTTAATTGGAGTATGCTTGTAGATTACTATTGTTATAGATTCTAACGCAATTCTTTTTTAAATTAATTTCTGTTAGCCTCAGTCTTTGTAACCCACCTGACGATGCCAGGTAAACCTGGTGAAACGTTGCGAATAAAAAGTTTTACCATGTTCAACCAGATAACAATTTGTGTGAATTTCATTAGATTATTATTTAGTAGAACACCAATATAAAATCATCCTAAAAGACATTTTCAAAATCCTACATAACTAATACAATTTTGTTTCTGAAGTATGATTCATCTAGAACGTTTAAACTTAACTGAATAAAATATTGTGAGGATGAGAGATAAAATACTATCAAAAAGTTAACATCCTATCAATTTACTTTTTACCTCTTAATTTCAATTCGAACTTGTGAATAGTTGTAGAATTCTTATGAAGGGGAGTTCCAGCCCCCCCCCCAACACCAAAAAATGAAGTCAATGAAACAATAAGCAAGTTGATTTGATTCAAGTACAACCATATTTGTGTATTATTAGTGAAAGAACAACACCCTATAGCGAGTTTCTGACATTTATACAGATATTTTATGCATAAACATACAAGTTCAAAACTTGTAGGAAAATATTTTAAAAGATGAAGTCAAAACAACAACAAAGTAAGAAAACGATTTTTTAGCTTCTTTATTTCACTCATCATACAACAAATAAATATGACAAGGAATGTAAGACATTGTAAAACAAAAGTACAACAAACTGTTAAAGAATGGCCCCCCTTTCAGTGACCCTGTCTATCATTTTTTTTTCACTTTTTTTTTTCAGAAGTGGCCCAAAATGTTGGTATGGATTGTGTAAAGTTATTAACATGTAGCCTGATTTATCTACTATAGACAAACAAAAATTTAATAAGAAATAAATAGGCCTAGAAGGTTGATGAGATATTTAAATTTGGATACTACAACTATTTCATTGAGGTGGAGGAGCAGGGGGAGGTGACTGAAACAAACTGGGTTTTCCAGCATTAAACTGGCCATACATGTTAGCCATCATGAAGTTAGGCTGTGGAGCTGAAGACTGATTCTGATTGAACTTGTTAGTATGCCCATTTTGTCGGCCATAGTTAGAACCATTGGAATAGTTGCTGCTTTTGCTTCCTCGATTGCTGTCTCTGCGGTCATTTCCTCTGGAATTATAATTATTTTGGCTGTAACCACCCCTCCACCGACTACGTCCTGTAATAAACGCAAAAACTATTAAATCAAATGCAACAATACAATTTCACATGAATCAATATGTAAGAACTTTGAATGTATGAAAACATTTTTCATGTACATAATATTTTGGACTGAATAGATGTTTCAAAAGCCATTTTTAGATAATAAAAAACATTGCTGAGCAACAAAAATAAACAAGGAAATAATTCAGTGTTAACCTTAGTTATTTGAATTAATATGCTAAATTAACATGTATTAAGATTACTTTTAAGAGTAAGAAAAAAAAAATCTAAATCATCAGTTATCTGATTAGGAAAGCACAAAGCAAAAAATACAAACTTTGCTTTTAAAAGAAATTCCTCAGAATTATACCTGTGCTTAATAATAGTGGAGTACTAAGACAAGATGGAGTTCCAAAGCAAACAATATTAGTGTATTGTATTTATAAGATCAATCCATTAATATATTCAATTTTATACAAAATTAGAATACAAATTAATTCAACAGTCACGAAGCACTAGCTCATATCCCCTCACAACTATACACATTCACAGAAAGACTCCCTCATTTGCCTGACTTGTATTAACAAGAAAATGAACTGACCACATTCCCCAAGTTTATCTATGTAGTTCCTTTTTAAAGACCTTGATAACTATTTACTTGAGTAAATGCAGTAACTAATTACATGCCCTCATTAATGAGATTTCAAATACACAGATCACTTTTAGGATATTTAAATAATTTTATACTCTAGCAGTAGAAATATATGATTATGTGTTATCTTTTCAGATAACTTGGATCTCGCAGCCTTATTAGGATATAACTGTTGTGCTTGAAGGTTTACAGCAACAAATTAAAAGCCAACTAGAGAACCAAAAATAATGTACACGATACTACAATGCAAGTACATGACATGTTTACTTTCAGCATTATAGATTGAGCTTTTAGAAAACCTAGATATATGATTAAATTATTTTTAGAAAATGCCAACAGTGACAAAAACACTAAAGTTTGCAACTTTGATTGACACTTTTTTTTAAACATAAAAATGATTAAATAACATTTAACTATTACTAAAACCACATGTTCAGGAAAGTGACCATTTCTGACTGGTCAAATATCCAACATTATTTGGATCAATGATTATATATCACTGTGAAGATTCCAAGTAACCCCTCACTAATAAAACCTTACCTCGTCCACCACTGAAACCCCCAGAAGAACCCATCAATTCCATTAGTTTTGGGTTTACTATTTGGTTGGCTTCCTTCAGCACAGACACAAGGTCTTTAACTTGCTTGGCATTTCCTGGTGTAAACAACGTGTAAGCTGTTCCAGTCTTGTTTCTACGAGCTGTGCGGCCGATACGGTGAATGTAGTCCTCAGAGGAATTTGGGTAGTCGTAGTTTATCACAAACATTACATCTTCCACATCTAAGTTGTCACAAAACATGTAACATGACACACATACAGAAAACAATTTGGTAATTAAAACAGTTGCTAAAATACCAGTTATAAAATAATTATAACAGCATAAACATACAAACTGAACATTTTACACTAATGCTTCCTGTATAACTATTGTGATACAACCCAACAACACTCAAAAACGAAATTTTTCTTTAGAAAATGCTTAGTGGGTTATAGAACCAATCACTTAACAAGTACACACTTAACTATAATTTTTGGTCCAGTCACATATATTCACAGGAAGCATAATTTCAATAAGTACACACAGCTACAGATTTGCCATTCAAGTTTAACTATGAAGTACTAAGACTATAAAAACAGTGCTATCAGTCCCAAAGAATTATTTTACCTTCAAAGGAAGTTTATAGAAAATCAACAGTTACACATAAGTAGCAGTTTCCCCATATGAAAAAATTCCAGCTAGTAATAAGATGTTAAGGACATACAATAGTGTGCAAATTAATTAGAATGCCTTAACAACCATCATTTTACAAGCTTTAAAACACAAAATTGTTTTGATTAACTATGCTAATTAATTCGTAATTATAGTAAATCAGTCTTATAGGACTATTACAAAATTAGTACACAAATGATGTGCAAGTTTCTTTAATGCTAGTATTTAATATAGCTACCTTTGACATCAGTAACAGCTTGGTATTTTTGTGGCATTGTGTTAATGTTTTCTTAAAGTCTGGAGTAACTTAATTCAATTATTCTTGAAGTTGCATCCAGAGGCATTTCATTAGTACACTTTGTACTTTTATCAAATATGGACTCCAACAAACCCAGTGTTTGTTCTATGAGGTTAAGGCCTGGACTTTGTGGCAATCATTCCATTCACTGGAGATATCCCAATCTTTCTTTCTTTGCCAAATAATGTTATTTCTTTGAAGTTGTTTGGGATCATTATAATTTTGAAATACTAAGTTCTTCCCAATCAGCTTCTTTGTGGAGTATATGACATAATGGACTAATATGCTATGATGTTTACACTGATCTATGATTCAACCACTTTTGTGAAGATGGCCAACACCATTCACAGATATTGCACTACAAATCCTCTTGCATGCTTGAATTTTCAGTTTTCCTTTGGTTCCTTTTCAGGGAATAGAAATCAGTTTTAAGAAATCTAAAATTTCTTTCATTGAGCCTTTTCTTTTGTCACTTGCCTTTTATGATGTTACAGGAATCAGTTTCTTTGTCTCTACGTGTACTTCACAGCACTTCACACTCCAATGGTTTCATTTCACAGGCACAACAAATTAAGACTATAGGAGCAATGGGGTGTTCTAATCAATTTGCACACTAGTGTATACGTTAAAAATAATTATACGTGATTCTATGCAACAAACTAGATGATGCGTGACCAATCACCTTACTAGTTGATTCTGCCAAGGAATCTTCCAAACTTTTTTTTTTTAAAAAGTTCAGTATCTTACAAAGAATATAAACTGGTTGATTTACCTGAGGTTATGGCATCCAGTCTCCTCTGCCCAAACTGCCTGGTGTGCTCTCACTTGGTGTGCTCCAGTCACTGAGAAGACTGCAAGCCCCCAAGACCTATTCTACAACCACCATGACAGATGAGCCATCAGGAACAAACTGTGTTTGTGTAGGTGGAGTTAACAGACAGCTGCTGCTCCCAGTTACCAGACTGAAATACTAGAGCAGCTGTCTCCTCCCCAACAACAGGTACCAAGATGGATGTAGGACCCTCGCTGAGGCCCCAGAGAGAAAGAGGATGACATGACAAATGCACTGATGGTACACAGAGAGAGAGGCTAATTCATTCATGCCCAATTTTACAACTTTAACTAAAGATGAAGGTAACCAACATTAGAGGCACCGCTACATTCACATTACAGTGCCTCTGAAAAAGAAAGAAAAAAATAGTGGTTAGAAAAGTGAATTGCTTGTTTCTTAAATACTATTTTATGTGAGGCACTTGGTAATACTTCAATATAAGAATTCATGAAAAAATATGATACAATTAATAAAGATGTTGCTACTCTCTCATCATGTCATGACACACCCTCATTACAATTTTTTTCTTTTTTTTTTTTATAATGAAGTGTTAATTTCTGGCAAATTTTAATTATGTGAGGTAGTTGGTAACGATCGATGCTTGTACGGAAATTACCTGTTGAGCTTTTTTTTTGGCAAATACCAGTTTTGATAACAAAGTTGGTTAACTGAAGATGTAAAAACCAGTCCAACCAAGAAAGAAGTCACTGAATTTTTACTTTGAGTTTTTTTATTTAATATAAACTGTATATTACTTCCTTAAAAAAAAAGGAAAATTTCATATTAAGCTGGCAAATAACTCCATAAAAATTACAATCACAGTGTTAACTTACCTAATCCTCGAGCTGCAACATCCGTGGCTACCAAGATGGGTGACCGGCCTACACGAAATTCTGAAACACAATTTATCAATTGTTATTTGAAACAAAAAACTTTGAATCTTTAAAAATTTAGCATTTTTCTTTTGGAGCAGCTTTTTACTGAACAAGAATCTGTATTTTAACTTCATAATACTTCCAACATATACTGAGACATTTGTATACTAATAAGTGCTTTCAGTTGTGAAGTTATAAGTAAGTAAATCTGAAGTCTGCAAGAAAAGCTGTAGGAAGATCTGTTCCATAATGATACAATGAAGCACTACATAAAAGTATCTCTAATGCCATCCACATAAGTGCTCCTGTGCAGCAGTCACTTTTGGCCATTTGAACTGAAAAATAATGTAATACCTCAAGGGCATTAACTGACTCAATGGAAAACTTTAGTGACCATCTTTACCACAAGAAAGCACATATGACACAAAACCAGAATGGCCTAGAAAAATGGATAGTCAAAGCAAATAACCACATTCTTTAACTAACTTTATAAAGTTAAATCTACATACAAGTATCTGCATGGAAATTTTGAAACACTGTTCATTTTACCAAATAAAGGGGATATAAAACACTTAGTACACTCGATTACTACATACTTATATAAGAACAGACACTCTCACACACACACTTAGCAACAGCAATACATCAAAATACAATACTAAAAAAAGTTACTTAAATATCCAGTAAGTTTTGTTTGTGTTATAAAGTTGTATGAATTCTCTTTTACTTAAAAATTATCAACGAAAATTACCATTTAAAACCCAGTCTCTTTCTGGTTGGGACTTGTCTCCATGAATACACATAGCAGGCCACCTTTAAAAAAATAAGACAAATTATAGTTTCTAAAAACATGAACCTGTGAAATTTACAAAATTCTTCAATATATACATATATTTTGGGGCAAGTTTAAACGAGTAAATGCAATCCTAAGTCACAATTTTCACCAAAATAGACATGCTACATTTATAATAAACTATTAAAAAAAATTAGTATATAATCTTAAATATTCTGCAAAAATATGTATCAAATTCACATTATAAATATTTAATGAGACTTGATGTTCGTACTATGATCTATTTTTTAAAGTGAGTTAAGATAATGCGTTAAATGCAAATTAACCTCATGCAACCATCATAACAAAAGAAAACTGTGCACTTGAAAGAGGATTAGACCAAATGTATCATAGTTGTGAAATTTTTCATACCAATTATATCCATCTAAAAAAAATCACTTGGTGTTTAACACCATGTAAAAAATTCAAATAAAAACAGTCTATACAAGAGTGTCCAATATAATAAGTGCTTGACTTGCTACTTAAACCACACAGAAAATTATAATTGGCTTAATATGCTTTCAAATATACTACTGAAAGTCCAATTAACAATTACTTAACATATCAAGAAGTTTCCATATACTTAAGAGTACACACTTTAATTTTAACATGCCTTCAGAAAGTAAATGCATTATATTTTTGTTTAGTAACAGTAGAATTACAGACGACAACGACATAAGAAACTTAAAACTTCTAATTCATGTAGATACAAATAGTTTTTATCACAATACAGTACATTTATAGCTGTTATGTATAAAATTTTACCCAAGAAAGGTAAGTACCAAACATTCTGTAATAAGGAAATAGAAAACTGCTATCTATTTGTTATTTCAGTGCTAATTTATTCTCGCAAGTCTAAACCATACGAACAATTCAAGTTTTAAGAATCAGCTTCTTTGTTGAAAATTTGGAAAACTTCTACCCAAAGTTTGAATATTCTTACTATCAACTGAAAAATATTACTTCTACAAAACCATGAGTCAAAGCAAAGAACATGTTATGATATTTCAAACACACTATCTACAATATCCAATGGCAACAAGACCTTTCACTAGCCTGGAATACAAGAGGTATAGCAGTGGTCTAGCTTCTATATCCTTAATTTTCATAAACAATAATTATAGCAGGAACCACGTTAACTTTTCATAGGGGGTCTGTCGATGTGATACTTTATAACCACAAAGTAACTAGTTTCCATATTATAAATGTATCTTCATGAAATTTGGCAAGCCTTCAATAACATTACAAGTCTTTTGTTCACAAAAAATCAATTTGTTTCAATTACATATTTTCTGTAAGTATATAGTCAGCATTGATTGCTCTGAGTATAATATAATTTTGTGTTAAGATAAAAGTACTTTTATTCATTTGAAAATTTATACATTTTATTTGCATATCCTCTAAAACCTCCTAAATATCAAACATTTTTTCAGTGAAACTTTATATTTAATTTATTTTCTCTACCCAAACTATACGGACTCAGTCAATTCGACAGACCTTTTAACCACCATAAAAATGCATAGTAAATCTAAATTACCTTTTTTTTAGAATAACTGTAGATTGTAATAAAAAACAATTATTTATCCTAAATAGCTTAAAACCTATAACAGTCTACAAATGTCTAACTAATAATCCCACCACACAAGTTATAAATCACTCAGCAAACACTCATGAGAATATCTTGTGAAAAATTTTTATCCTCATTTTCCATTATCTTACCTAACAAGTTTCTCAATTTTACATTTTAGGTACTTTATAACAATAAATGAAAAATATACATGAAACAGTACTTACCTTTTACCTAATTTTTTGTTGTCAGTTGCCAATAAGTTTAAGTCTACTTTATTTTTTTTATTTTTTTTTTATAATGGTACTAGTACACTTATTTATTTACTTAAATAAAATAGAATAATCACATGTACAAAGAAAACAATGTCCTGTAACTGTTATAATTTAATAACTGTCTAATACAAGAGGAACCAAGCACTGCAAAATAAGCTTTCAAACTGAAGACAAAATTAAGAAGTCTGTACTACAAATAAAGTAGCATTATATGTCCTTTGATATAATAAAACTGTCTCTATTGGTTATAAATGATATGTATAACATCAGACAGAATTATTGGAAATTTATAAAAGAGTATGTGACAAGTGGGCTTCACTTTCTAGTCTACGATTGTGTGAATCAATCTTAGAGAGTATAACAAGAGGGAATCCTCAATAGCCGTAGCTGTAATTAGACCCCAAATTGGTCAAGAGATGGAGCTATGAGCAAAAAGTTTCAACTTTGAAAAAACCAAAAAAAAAAACCTCTGGCATTCTATGAGCTGCTAAAAATTAGTTTTCCTTACAAAGATCTATATTATAACGAGCAATTTACATTAAATTACTTACTGCAGAGAGGGGTGGTAAATAAATAAGAGTAGGGAGAAGACCTAGAGAACAAATGTCAAGACTCAGACTAGGGGAGATTGAGAATGTATTTAACCCTTTTGCTATAGGCTCAGTATAAAATACTGGTTCATATACACACATTATACTATAACTTTTAATTCAGTATGAGCATCTTCACAAAATTTGGGAGACTTTTAGTAAACATTACAAGTCTTTTGTACATAAAAAATAACATTTTTTAATCATGTATTTTTACTAAAGATTTGTTTGTGAATATATTGAGTCTATTTTGTAACTAGTCTGAATGGAAAGTGAATTTCATGTTATGATTAAAAAACTATTCTTTGTCCCAAAAATATCATTTGTGTAATCTTTACCACATCCTAAATACATTTCAAATGTTTTTTTTCGGAAAGGTTTAAGCTTTTTTCATTCTAAAATAACTTCAAATTATGACACGAAAACACAAATGTTTAATCTAAATAGCTTCAATCTCTTAAAATGATAATCTATATATATTTGCTATTTTTATTATATTCACCTTTTCAGCCATGCCTTGTTAACATTACAAAACCTGCAATGAGGCAGCACATGTACACTCGTGTTACTGTATTCAAGAATATAAAACTAATCTTTACAAAGTGACCTGTCTTGGCTGTGTTTTATTGAACGAGTATTTTGTAAAATACAGTCGCATTTCAGTTATAATACATTAAATATGTATATACATATTACTATTTAAAAATAAGTTGTTAAACTTATTTTTCTTAAAACACAGAACTGTAAATAAAGAAACATAGTAAACAATTATCTCAGCTAGTTACAAACTTTGTACTCATTTGCTGCTTCCCGTAGGTTGCTATGCCTTATTAAAGGCCTGCATGCAGAGGATGCAAATATATATATATATATTTTTTTTTAGATTTTATACATGTATATTCATTTTGAAATAACCAAAAATCATGAATTACCATACCAATATTATAGAATTTCACTATAACTTTTAAAGCTCAGTAACTAAGGTGTATTTGGGTCTTAAAATATGAAATAGAGCTCACTAAAGCACCGCCTTAGTTTTTTTTTTGTATACAAGATTTAAGAGTTCCATATCCGTATATATTTGAAGAAGGCTGAAAAAGCCACTAGGGGGACATTCTGAGCTTTTGTTTAGTTATTCACACGCCATAGACAGATAAGCAAGTATTTAAAAAATGGAAAGAGGTGGGCGTGGCTAGTGTTGAGTCAGTAACTAACGATATCTCAGCAGATAGAAAAGACAAGAGGTTCTATTTTATATTCTAGCTTGTCAATATCGGTAATTTGAGTTTCTAATTTGTAAAAAACTAAAGACTTTGTATTTTGACACCACAAACATCTAACTTCAAAAAAGCTATATTCAGCATACTATATGAC